CCCCAAAACCCCAAAACCCCAAAACCCCAAAACCCCTTCTCGGTTAAATATTATTGAAAAAATGATGAGACATTTAGAAACAAATTCTAATGAGTACAAGGATAGCGAGATCATTCCTCAAGATGAGTCAGCATGGGATACCATTGGCCCCATCCTTATTGGGGCAGCTGTGCTATTAGTTTTTGTCTGATGATGCACATGCTTCGTTTTATTCGTAAAATATGTTATCTTGCGAGGTGATAAAGACAAAGTCTTTTCAATTAAGGTTAGTCATAATTTATACTTCTTTTAAACTATCAGTTGCAGAAACTTGATTTGGAAATAATTTACAATTCGATTCTGATATATCAATCTGGAGATCACCAAAAGTGTAGCTTCTCCAAGGATTTTAGCCATTTATTCTGAAAATTTCAGAACATAAGAGTAGAAAAATAATATACAAAGTGGAGTAATATGCTGAAGATTTTATATCATAATTTATCATGAAGTTAATTGAAATCTCTTAAACTCTAATCAAATAACACAGGACCTGCAAAAGAAATAAAGAAGAGCAAAAGACAACTCCTGATTCAGAACAAGGCGATCAAGAATGACAATCTGAGCACAATATGGGTCAAGGTGTAAACAATATGAAAGAGGAGTTTAAAGTAACTTTCTAGCCTACCCCATTGCTAACTTGCTATAGCGAGTTCAATGAGATGACGAACGGACTTCAATCGTGAAGCTACAGCAAGCTAAACGAGGATCTGTGAATACTCCTTTAGTAAACAACTTCACAAGAGACAAAGAGTATGGCTAAATTATTACTTCGTAGAATAACAGCAAGAACAAGAAATAAGAGGTTCTCGGTGAAGATCCCAGTAAGTATCCTATAAACTAACTTATAGTGCAAGCCTAGCTCTGGACTAGTTGAGCGAATCAGTGTTCTAAGTTATGGATCTACAAAGAATACACTCTCAACAAATGAAGCTCCGAATATTAAGGAGAAGTATAAAAACCCAAGGATTTCTACAATCGATGAATGCATTGAAATAGCTACTCATAGCGTACATTTGACCCATCAAATAATATAGGATCGTGAAATAATCGGAAATAAAAGTGCTGAATCTTCCCTAAAACCTCCGACTGGGAGATCCATAAAACAAACTAAACGTACTGCAAAAATAAATAACTTCAGAAGACAATCTGAAGCCGTCCCTTTCCACCATCTAAAGCCCCTTCAGACCAAACTAAACATCCCTTCCCATGACGAAGAAGAGGACCATAAAAGCGTGAGCTCAGCCAACTGTAAACCTCAACCTAACCCAATAGCCCTTACAAATTCCAAAAACTCCTGCACCAGAAACAAAGGCAGACCAATAAACCTAAATATCCAGCGGAAGTCTCAAATCCACACTCTGTACTTCCCCATGTCTCACCACCATAGGTCGAAAGGGTCAGCCCTCGAAATAGATGTTACCAATTCCGACCCAGAAAGGATCAATATTTATCAATAATTACCTTATATTTGGCCTAAAGGATCTTGAACGGCAGAAGAAAGAGAGGTAAATGAGTGGGTTTAGAGGGTTTGAGGGGATATCTCTACTTCGATTCTAAAACGCCTCTAAAGATTTTGAAACATTTTCCATTTTACACCAGATCACCTCAATAATACTCACCCTTTTAGGGGTTTTGGGGTTTTGGGGTTTTGGGG